TGTGTATACCAAAGTGTCCCAGAGTCAGAGGTGAGGTCATCTGTCAGACAGTTAAAGCTTGGCCGAAATGGGATCATCCAATTTGGACAATGATCCCAAGCACAGCAGCAAATCTATAAGAAAGTGACTAAAAAAGAAAATCAACATGTTGCAGTGGCCCAGTTAAACTCCAGACCTCAACTCGATTGAAAACCTGTGGAGGGTTATATATAAATGCATGAGCTGCAGTAACATTATAAAGCAAAGTGGGCCAAAGTTCGTCCACAACAACATTAGAGACTGATAAAGTCATACAGAAAACTATTACTTGACGTTATTGCTACTAAGTGTGGTTCTAGAAGGTACTGAATCATGGGTATACTCAATTTTCCACAGGACTCTCAGGTAAATCTTTCAGTTATTTAAGTGAAAAGCAGATTTATTTTCTTGCATTGTCACATTTTCCATGTCTGGGGTGCGTCAGATGTGTATTAATAGTACTTCATGCTATTTTTATTATAAACACACAATAGATTTCAATCACCAAAAGATGAGATACAGCAAGTTAACACATATTGTCCCGCACTGTATGGTGGACGATTATAGAAGCTGCTGACAGCTGCAGAGAGGCCACTGCTCACCAGAGCCCAGACGCCTCGGGCACTCAGTCTCATAGACGCAAATGGATTCAGTGTGGCAGCACCTCCGAGAGCGGGCTGCATTTTCTCCTTAAAATGTATTTATGCTTTGTAAGAGGTTCTTTTGAATCTGTTATGAGAATCTGGAGGAGGTGCAAATGAGATGACGATAAACACGACCCGCCGTTTTCTTATTGTGCCATCACTGATGTGACAAATGTTTGTGCTGTGTGAATCAGATCAATGTAAACACAGTTTATTTGTAATAAAAGTCCTTCAGAGATGTTAAAGCTGATCCTAAAATGAAACGCACATGAGGACAATTTTAGCTTCGGATGCATAAGAGCTCATAAAATCCAGCTAATGAACCATTTGAATCGTCATACTTTGATACACATTTTTCTGTCTATATACATTTTTCACACCTACACCTAAAAGAAAATCCAGAACCAGACACAACGGACTCATATTTGATCAGCAGTAGCAGCTGAACATATTTGGTATGACTGAGATATGTAAAGATCCATTTAGTGTGCAGCGTATTCAGCTGTATCGTGCATTTGTTTTCTTCCAACGGTCCAAAGTAAGCATCCATATCCCAAGTTCCACAACCCCACTTACTGCTCTCTAGTGACCTGCGTCTCACCTGAGTTCAAAGGGCTTTGATCTCAGCTGCCCAAGTGAAGTGAACTAAGGGAGTAAACACTCCAGACTTTGAGTAAACACCTCCAAGTATGGATTTTAATGGATGGGAGC